TGCAGTTCCCCTGTGTTGCTCAATTCCCAATTCTTATGCACCCTATACTGTAGTAGATCAGCTTGTTATTGATCACATGGCTGCTTTTCTGTTAGCGAATTTAAGAAACAAATAGTATTGCCATTATGCCGGTGGATCATGCAAGCCTTGTTATTCCGAGTTGATGCCATTATCCCATGGTTTTGTCGTTTTCGTGGAGTCTGGTGCAAGCTCACTCACTCTCACTCTCTCTCTCTTTTTCTCCCCCCCCCCCTTCCTCTTTCTCTCTCTCTCTCTCTCTCTCTCTCTCTCTCTCTCTCTCTCTCTCTCTCTCTATCTATCTATCTCTATCTCTTGTTTTTTCTTGTGTGACTTATATCAGTGTCTCAACACTACACGTCAGCGTTGAAGCTGTACATGAGTCTGGGCGCAGCACACTCGAATTTCTTCACCACACCTGTGCCCGTGGAGATCTGGACTGACCAGGTAGGTTTCTTGCCTTCTACCAGCCTGGACATAGCGTTAGCTATCTGTGCCCTGGTTGTTCTGTGCATGCACTTACACATGGCAAGTTTCTACTGGCTCTTTCCCACACTGTACATAGTGTACTACTGATATATTGTAGTATTGGGATTAATTTCCTGCAGCAATCCGGAGGCTAGAGCAGCGACAGAAAGATGGTGGAAAGGGAAGGCTCTAGCCAAGTACAAGAAATGGGTGACCGTCGCCAGGTGTAGCCACCCTTGCTGCTGCACAAAGACTTCAACTGCAGTGCTTTGAAGTAGAAAGTGATAGGTGTGAACGTATACATGTATGCATGTGCAATGCAGTACACAGCAATGCCTGGGCCGAGAGATCGGGGACAAAATGAGCGCTCTGGTCTTGAAATCAAGAAGACCGAAATCAAATGGCAACTGATTTCCATGTTTGTGGTGTGCCTTACCCTGGGCTGGTGCAGAGATAAGTTTTGGTCAACTTGTCTGATCCTATTGCTATCTTCTCTTGTCTGATCCTATTGCTGTCTTCTCTTGTCTGATCCCATTGCTGTCTTCTCTTGTCTGATCCCATTGCTGTCTTCTCTTGTCTGATCCTATTGCTGTCTTCTCTTGTCTGATCCTATTGCTGTCTTCTCTTGTCTGATCCCATTGCTGTCTTCTCTTGTCTGATCCTATTGCTGTCTTCTCTTGTCTGATCCCATTGCTGTCTTCTCTTGTCTGATCGTCATCCGCACAGGTTTACCGTTCAATGATCACATGTTGCCAGGGCATCAATGCGTTCACTCAGGCCACTGTGCTCTGTCAGCTACTCACTCCCGTCGACTACCAGCTGGCCAATCACTGTATACAGCAGACTAACTGGTAAGGCTTGCAGATAAGTTTATTTTTTACTTTTTATTTTTTACAAGATACACAACTCACTGGCAGGCATGTGGGGCTAGCGTGGGGCTAGCGTGAGCTGAGATGGTGCTGGTGGGGCCTGCCATGCTTAGCCGGAGGTCTTGGTATCTTCGAATGGCAGGCGCGCCGAATTCTGTGTCTAACAACTAGCTCTCTGCCGTTTTCACTGCTCTCTCTCTCTCTCTCTCTCTCTCTCTCTCTGCTGCTGCTGCTGCTGCTGCTGCTGCTGCTGCTGCTGCTGCTGCCCTTGGTGGTGCTCTTGATGAGTGCATGGTTCCATTGGGTACGTGTTAATGATGTTATATCATTCAATTTCGACATGCTGCTATTTTCTGGCTAATGTACGTTGTGTACTTTCAAGTCTGCACATGCTTCAACCTGTTTCTCTGCTCTCTTTACTAGTACCGTAAAGTACCGCGAAAGCGCCCCACTTTGGTTTCACGGCCAGGAAAAGGAAAATTGTATGGCAGAGTCCAACCAAGTTTGTACGGTGTAAGAACCTTGGTGAACTAAGGTCACACTTAGCAGGTTTTTGTGTAGAGCTCGTGTCCGCTCGAAGGTAAATGGAGTACGGATTGACTGCACAGCGTTCAATATGTGTACACGGTTTGTGTCGCATGACCTTCAGACAGGACTCAACCTCCACAATGTGACCGCGAAAGGAGGAGATGGTGGGGCGCTCTGGCGGTACTTTTCGGTAGTAACATGCATGCAGTGTATGTGCACAGAGGGATACCTTTGTGTGGTGAGCTGAGTCGTGTAGTAGTAGTCCACAGTGTGCTATTGTGGGGAGATATAGTGCATTGCACAGTGCACTAATAAGCCCATTGCGCAATGACGTAATTTGTACCGCAAACACCCCACACAGCCACCTGGGCATGGTCGTCTGGGGTGTTGAACATCAGTGCATTGCTGATCCCAGTGTACTCACATGCATTACTCATGCAACCCATATTTAGCAATGCACAATGGACTTATTAGTTCTATGGTATGTATGTGGTGCTGCTGCTGCTCACTGTACAGCTTTGATGCCATGGAGTTCTTCTACGACTGCATCTGGGACTTGATGATCTTGGAGTATGCTGTCCGTATCCTGACTGGTTCTAGACCTGCTGTGAATGATGTTGTCCGAGTTGAGATGTCGGTTTCCATGCCACTGTCACACTGTGCTTCAAATAGGAAGGTGGTGTTGTGTGTGTGGGGGGGGGGGGGGGGGGGATGTGCATGGGAAAAGTGTAAGGACCTTTTTTTGCTGTGCTACTATCATTGTTCTGACATGCGTTTTGATGGACGGATGAGGAAGGAGAGCTCCGATATGTGTTGCATTAGCATATGTGTTATGAGGAGTACACGAGAGTCTTTCTTTTGCTGTGTGCCAGACTATGGTTCCCGTATGTTCCTCCAGTTGCTAGTTCAGCTTTATGATGGCAGCCAATAATTGATTGCTGCAACGTAGATTTGGAGTGTGTTGATAATCTCTCTGCAAGAGTTCAGAGTCAGCTGCACTGCCGCCAGTCCATAGTGCATAATAATAGCGTCGCCACCGATTGGTGGTGCCAGACACTACATTGAAATATCCTGCTTTTTCTTTCTTTCTCGTGAAGCTTGTTTGGTGATTATGTGAAGGGGTACACGTACCATTGTTCTGGTGCACCTCGCCTAAGGCTATGCTGTAGTGACATTTGACTGCTTTGTGACATGGACATGTAAAGTGTGTAGCAAACAGCCTTGACTTGACCATGACGTATCACACAGACACGCATACTCACCGTGGAGAGGAGGAGAAGCGGCAAGTAGCCGTAAGTCTTACCCTTCCCTACAGCATGGACCGGAAATCAAGAAATTCATCGTTTTGACCTGTATGGCACATGTACTATTTTGATCTTGTCTGCTACATTCTGCACTGGCTGACGTCTGTGAAGTGAAGGTTGGATCTGCTGCTGGCCATCCTATGGACTAACAATGCAGTCAGCTCTGCTTTTGGGTTTCTTCTCGTGCCAAAGCCAGTCACTACATATACAATGAACATGTAATTGAGACATTGCATGTAGACTACTGTGCTGTGCCGGATAGACTTGCCGCCACTTGAGACCTGCATTTGCTGATTTGTTCAATTGTGCATTCTTTTGGCCGTGTCTGCTTTCCTCAGGTAAACAACATTGGTGATCCAGACCTCAACACGGCAAACAGCGCCGAAACCATTCGAAAAGCCGTGCAGATACGTCTGACCAAGTTCCTCCGGCGGATGGCCACGCTCTACATCTGAGGGGAGCCACTTGTTCCTCTGTTCTGTGTGTGCGCATGTGTGTTGTGTGTGTGTGTGTGTGTGTATGTGTGTGTGTGTGTGTTTGATGTTGCATGTGGCTAGTGCAATAGAGAGCTGATCATGCTGTTCTTTAGGCTGAGACTAGCAACTGCTGGTGTCTTTGCTGTGCTTTCGGTGCAGCATTGAAGATGTTGTTCTGTTCTGGCGCCGTGCGTTTCTCCAAAGCAAGTATTCCCGCTGTGTTTGCTACACGCTAACCGATATTTCCACTTTATTTTGCAACGCTTAATGTAGGTCTACTGCCTGCTTAAGCCATTGACAGAGTTGCTGTTGACGTTTCGCTGTTTGAGTGAGTACTTTTAAGACGCGTGTGTGTGTGTGTGTGTGTGTGTGTGTGTGTGTGTGTGCGTTGTGATGCTCTTGATGAGATCATAGGCTGCAATCACTTTTTTCCGCTGTTAATTTTTGCTACAGTGCATGGCGACGAGGCCTGTGAGGACATGCTGCTTCTGTTATTGCTATCTTTTTGTTCTTCTTTTTTTTACAAGTCTCCAGTGTAGTGTTCTGCCACCCAGAGCAGGTCGTTACTTTTATTTTCCTTTCATGTTATTTTATGGGTCTTCAGCCCAGCCATGCCAGTGGACTGCTGTGCTGTGTTCCTTCCGTAGTGGTAGTAGTGTACCCTCAGTTTGCCCGGCCCGACGTGAACCGACCATTCCTGTGCCGCCGCCCGCCCGTTGAGGGGATTAGCCGTGTTGCGAGCCATGCTGCGAGACAGTCATTTAGTTACAGTCATGTGACTGCATGCAAACTGGACAATGAAGTGCTTGGACTGTTCGTACAATCATGTAATGTACTATGCGCAATATCATCTTGTCACAAGGACCCAGGATAGGCGTGTCGTTGACATTCCATTGCGTAGGTCTTGCAGGTCTCCCCCTTGGTGAAGCAGCCGCACCATGCACATCGCAATACACTGCAAGTCACCAAAGATGGCCTCATCCATCCAAGTCAGCATGAGGAAGAGCCAAGTACTAATAATGCCCACGATGTCAATCCTAGCCTGATGTACTGCACGGCACTAGTTGGCTTTTGGTAAGCACTGGCAAACAACGGTCTGTGTTTGCTGTCTCTTCATTTCATTGAGTAACCGCTGGCCACATACAGGTATACATGGGTGTACACATTTTGCAATTACACCACTTATTAAAACCCGTTTTTGTACTCCCTGGTTTACACTAACATGGAGGAGGGGGGGGGGGGGGTATGTACTAGGCCCAGACAGATCCTGCCGGCAAAATATCGAAGAATTGAAAGAGCGGAAATTGCCGGCAAAATCGGAGCAAAATATAGAGATGTTGGGTAAAATCGATGCCTGGTACTTGGATTTCCTTGTTTCTTACCCGTTCAGCAGGATCACACTGCCCAGGACGAGATCATGTCACCGAAATATCACTGGGATTCACTGTGGATCGAAATGATTTTGGAAGAACTTAGGGACACGTGCATAGAAACCCGTGTTGAGAAACCGACCCTGCAATTTTTATGAAACATTGTACGGGAAGTGGATAAAATACACGTTTTTCGGGAGCAAAATGGAGCAAAATATCGAGTTTCTTGCGCCAGGCTCGGCAAAATATCGAAGATTTCGCGGCAACATATCGAAGATTTCGCAGCAACATTTTGCGGCAACATATCGAGGCGAGCGGAGCAGAATCTGTCTGGTCCTAGTATGTAGTCTTTCTTGTGTGTTCTGCAATAATGCTTGGATTCAAAACAGCATCAAGTTTTCAGATATTTCAGTATCTCAGCAGTACTGAGTACTACTGAAACAGACTCAAATTGGAAACAAACGAGGATGTACTTGTAATACTAATAGACCGAAAGAGGAGTGTAAGGATATTCTGGCACGAAAGCCTTCTGTAAATGAATAATTTGCTACACTCTGAGTTCTGGTGAATGGGTTACGTAGCCATGGTAACTGAGTTATGGAGTTTGTTTTGTTCACCTGTACCGGCTTAACCACTTCGTTGGCATTCCTGCCAATGGCTTCAAGTTGAAATACTCCTCCAGTATATACTCGGCTGAGCGTAGTGCACCCTCTGCCCAGCCCTGCGACTTACTGTACGCTTCGCCGCAGATGAAGACGTTCTGGTAGGCGTCCAGCTGTCCCACCTTGCGTATGACCTCGCTGGGGCTGGCACCGATGCCCCACTCGTGCCAGGAGACCGGCCAGTGGATAGCGGCCGCAGTGTACGGTGGTGGTATCGTACCTGCGTCGACGTTGTGCAGCTGATGCAGCTGCTGCATTGCCAGATCAACCATACGCTTGCTAACGGTGAAGCCGGTGGCGTTCGGAACCAGTGGAGTCTCACTTCCAACAAATGCATTGGCTCGGCCCTGGAAGGCGGAAATATTTGCCTTGGTTGCCTCCATATCGGCCCAGCGGTACGCTGGATAGGCCAGAGTGTATGAAGCCAGCACAAGAGAGTTACGATTGGATTGGCCAGTCGATGTGTTCGCACTAACATGATCGGCCTGTGTTCCTATGAAGTAGGTGTGCTCAATGTCTAAAGAACTCACCTCTGCACCTTCATAGAACCCAAATGGTGCTTCTCGCCACCAGGGTTTGTCAAAGCCCAGAAACAGCTTGGATGCTTCTCCGGTTAGTGATGCTTTCCATGCGGTTTCCATGGACAGAGTTCTCCACCATAGCTTCTCCAATGCCCCCTCGTGCAGTGCAAGGATCACGCTCTTTGAGCAGAATGGCTTGCCCGCTGCTGTGAAAAGTGCCTGGTGGTGTTCCGCTGCTGAACCGCTGCTGCAGTTTGCCATACCTGTGACGGGCATGTTAGTATAGACTTCCCCGCCTAGCTTGATGAACTCATCGCGCAGTCTGTTTGGTAATGCCTGCATACCACCCGTGGGTACACGGTAGTCGGAGAACTGGCCCAGAAGGACACTTTTCATCATATCGACGAGTGTGATGCACGAGTGTCGGGCCTGTGGACCGCCGTTATAACCGCTGCTGGCTGCCATAAAGTCGCGCATCTCACTGCTCATGTTGACAATGTCTTCCAAATCACGTGATGTCACGTCGTACAGCTTCCTGCCGTCCACAGTGGAGGCAGACCATGCATCGAAGTCGTCATCCATGAAACCAGCAACCGTTGCGTTGTACAGCTTAGAGTATATTGTCAAGAAGTCCCCAAACAGGCGTCGGTCAGCATCAGTGAACTGGTAGAACTTTCCCACCGCGTCTATATTGCGTAGTTGATCTCCGGTGATGTGTGTGTTTCTCAAGAAAGCTGACGACTTTGGATCGCTTGAATTCTGAGCGAATGCCCGGTTGGACAGGTTGAAGTATTTCTCCACCAGCCAAGCGTTGAGCATGGCGTCGGGTTTAGATAAGTAGTGCATACCGCCAACGTCGGCGCGGATATCCGGCATGCCAGGAATAGGTACTGAGAACAGTCGGCCGCCCGTGCGTTCGGTCGCCTCCAGCACCGCTATCCTGGCGCTGGGATCGCTCTGTTTGAGTCGCCATGCGGCATACAGACCGGACACACCAGCACCGACGATGACCACGTCATAGCTCGCCGTGGTACACGCCTGCGAGCACAGGTATTTATCCACTGCATCCCAAACGTTTGGTGTGGCCGTGTCTGCTGCATCACCACGTCCTCGGTCGTGTTGCAGTACACTTTCAGCCTGCTGCAAGTGCTGGGCGGCCTCTGACCTGGCATTGGAATGCTGCAGTGTACCATGACTGACATGAGACCGACCCACTCCATCCAAGTACCCGTCGTCACGGCGCTGACCTTGCAGTTTCACATGTGATTTTCTGCTACCCAATATTCCATTCATAACGGTATGCACTGGCTGGGGCACCTGGACATTAGCATCGACGGCGATCACGAAATCGAATTGTTCTCGAGCTGGAGCGAGGCGGCTTCTTTCACGAACTATCTCGGCATTCAGAGTCATAATCTGATACAGGCATAGCAGGTGAGCTCCTATCAAAACAGTGAGGGTCACGGAACAAAGCGACAGCTCCACTCTGCACCCACGTTTCTTTTTCTTCCTGTCCGAGTGCCCGTCTCCAGGGTCCTTTCCCGATCGCTTCTTGCTTTCGCCCATCTTGATTTAGCGATTCCTCCGCACTAGAACCACCGCAACCGATAGGCTGATTGATGATTAGATCGTGGATTCCTCACAACCTGGAGGACACGATGCAATAAAATCCGACCCACATGCAAGCTTTCCGCCACTTACTTAGTGGCCACCGAAATGGTCGCATCATCATTCCGTCGACAAGCGGTCGAGTAAGTGCCGTAGACTCTACTCAGTTGTACATGTACTGAAATCTGTACAGTGTAGTCACAATCATGATCGCTGTAGCCTGTACGAGCTAGCCTGTGTATCGTGTAGATCTACATGGTGTAGGCTGTGTGGCAAGAGTACTCTAATTTCAGAAATTTTCGGTGCTCAATATTTTCGGTATGAGGGCAACAGGCTAGGTTAGGTGAACAGAAATTTTCGGTACAGAGAAGCAGTTCCCTATTGCCAGTATTGGATTATGTGTGTTAGTGTTTGTTCGGTGTATTGAAATTTTAGGTATGAAACAGACGCACCGAAAGTACCGAAAATAAAAGTACACCGAAAATTTGTGAAATTACAGTAATCATTGTAGTTATGTAGATTTACACTGAGTCTTGCCTGTAGTCTACATGCACCGAGAGGCGAGACTAGCTGCGACTGCAAGGCACCGTACCGGGACGCGGAACACTTTCATGTCATGATACGTTCATAATCGAAATGGCATGCTGCCCTCTAATTTTTGCCTGGACAAGTGGCCAAACTGACTACAAGTTACTTTAGTTTAGTTAGTTGTTGTTGGTTGACAGCATTACATGTACCAAGGTGGACGACCACGGTGTTTGGAAACAGTGACTTTGCAACTGTTTCCAAACACGGTGGTCCTCCACCTTGTTACATGCTGTCAACCAACGACATCATGACGGCAGTGAAATGCGGGTTCAGGGAACCCATAACTAGTAAATCCAATTGGTGATGAAGTGTAAAGAGAAAAAAATATGGTTCGATTCTCTGAGAATCTGTCTCAATGCTGTCCTTCTTGATAACAACGGTATAAAATACATCCAATGATATCTTAACGTCAGGGGCTTTCCAGGATGCCCAAGATGATGTCCCAGGGAAACCAAGGTTAGGTCCAATTCAAGGCAAAACATTTGAGGGCAGAATCCCCCTGTCCCCCATTTCCAAATGCTTGCCCCCGACGGAAAAACTAAATGAACAGAATTTGCTACACTCCGAGTTCTGGTGCATGGGTTAGGTAACCATGGTAACTGAGTTCTGGAGTTTGTTTTGTTCACCTGTACCGGCTTAACCACTTCGTTGGCATTCCTGCCAATGGCTTCAAGTTGAAATACTCCTCCAGTATATACTCAGCTGAGCGTAGCGCACCCTCTGCCCAGCCCTGCGACTTACTGTACGCTTCGCCGCAGATGAAGACATTCTGGTATGCGTCCAGCTGTCCCACCTTGCGTATGACCTCGCTAGGGTTGGCACCGATGCCCCAGTTGTGCCAGGAGACTGGCCAGTGGATAGCGGCCGCAGTGTACGGTGGTGGTATTGTACCTGCGTTGACGTTATGCAGCTGATGCAGCTGATGCATTGCCAGATCGACCATATGCTGGCTAACGGTGAAGCCGGTGGCGTTCGGAACCAGTGGTGTCTCACTTCCAACAAACGCATTGGCTCGGCCCTGGAAGGCGGAAATATTTGCCTTGGTTGCCTCCATATTGGCCCAGCGGTAAGCTGGAAAGGCCACAGCGTATGAAGCCAGCACAAGGGAGTTACGATTGGATTGTCCGGTCGATGTGTTGGCACTAACATGATCAGCCTGTGTTCCTATGAAGTAGGTGTGCTCAATGTCTAAAGAACTCACCTCTGCACCTTCATAGAACCCAAATGGTGCTTCTCGCCACCAGGGTTTGTCAAAGCCCAGAAACAGCTTGGATGCTTCTCCAGGTATTGCCGCTTTCCATGCGGTTTCCATGGACAGAGTTCTCCACCATAGTTTCTCCAGTGCCCCCTCGTGCAGTGCAAGGATCACGCTCTTTGAGCAGAATGGCTTGCCCGCTGCTGTGAGAAGTGCCTGGTGGTGTTCCGCTGCTGAACCGCTGCTGCAGTTTGCCATACCTGTGACAGGTGTGTTAGTGTAAACCTCCCCGCCTAGCTTGATGAACTCATCGCGCAGTCTGTCTGACAATACCTGCATGCCACCCGTGGGTACACGGTAGTCGGAGAACTGGCCCAGGAGGACGTTTTTCGTCATATCGACGAGTACGATGCACGAGTGTCGATCCTGTGGACCGCCGTCATAACCGCTGCTGGCTGCCATAAAGTCGCGCATCTCACTGCTCATGTTGACAATGTCTTCCAAATCACGTGATGTCACGTCGTACAGCTTCACCATGCATCGAAGTCGTCGTCCATGAAACCAGCAATCGTTGCGTTGTACAGCTTAGAGTATATTGTCAAGTAGTCTCCGAACAGGCGCCGGTCAGCATCAGTGAATTGGAAGAACTTTCCCACCGTGTCTATATTGTGCACTTGATCTGCAGTTATGTGTGTGTTTCTCAAGAAAGCTGACGACTTTGGATCGCTTGAATTCTGAGCGAATGCCCAGCTGGACAGGTTGAAGTATTTCTCCACCAGCCAAGCGTTGAGCATGGCGTCGGGTTTAGATAAGTAGTGCATACCGCCAACGTCGGCGCGGATATCCGGCATGCCAGGGATAGGCACCGAGAATAGTCGGCCACCAGTGCGTTCGGTCGCCTCCAGCACCGCTATCCTGGCGCTGGGATCGCTCTGTTTGAGTCTCCATGCGGCATACAGACCGGACACACCAGCACCGACGATGACCACGTCATAGCTCGCAGTGGTACACGCCTGCGAGCACAGGTATTTATCCACTGCATCCCAAACGTCTGGTGTGGCCGTGTCTGCTGCATCACCATGTCCTCGGTCGTGTTGCAGTACACTTTCAGCCTGCTGCCAGTGCTGGGCGGCCTCTGACCTGGCATTGGAATGCTGCAGTGTACCATGACTGACATGAGACCGACCCACTCCATCCAAGTACCCGTCGTCACGGCGCTGACCTTGCAGTTGCACATGTGATTTTGAATTTCTGCTACCCGATATTCCATTCATAACGGTATGTACTGGCTGGGCCACCTGCACATTAACATCGACGGCGATCACGAAATCGAATTGTTCTCGAGCAGGAGCGAGGCGGCTTCTTTCACGGACTATCTCGGCATTCAGAGTCATCATTATATACAGGCATAGCAGTTGAGTTCCTATCAAAACAGTGAGGGTCACGGAATAAACCGACAGCTCCACTCTGCACCCAGGCTTCTTTTCCGGCTTCCTGTCCGAGTGACCGTCTCCAGGGTCCTTTCCCGATCGCTTCTCGCTTTCGCCCATCTTGATTTAGCGATTCCTCCGTACAAGAACCACAGCAACAGATAGGCTGATTGATGATTAGATCGTGGATTCCTCACAACCTGGAGGACACGACGGACCCACAACGGTCGCACCATCATTCTGTCGACAAGCGCGCGGTCGAGTATGTTGCGTACTTGTACTGTACTGTCTCTAGTCTGTAGTCACATCATCGATGCATCATGATGGTCATGAACGCTGTAGCCTGTAAGTGGACGAGCTGTGTATACCCGTCCACTATAACAGTATAAATTAATTATAGTACAGCTGTAATCCGCTTCAGCTAGCGCTCTCTTGCTGTCGATGATGACTATGTACAGTGTAAGAGAGGTCTTCCTTGCACTAGACTAGACTACAAAGAGTAGTCTACCTTCGACCGGAGCAAGACTGCCAAGAGGGCCACTTGTAAACGTTGAACTATTACTTGTAGTCTACGCATCTATAATCTCACACGATGAAATCAAGCACTACAAATTTCGTTCAGAAAGTGGTGTACATCACGCAACTGCATTGTAAATAAAAGGGGGTTTGTCAACTGACAACCGGCAACCGCCCTATTTTAGTTGCTATTCACTCTTTAGTCTAGATGAAAATTCTTTTTATTAATGATGTTGAAAAATTATTGACGTTTCGGGCCAGTCACCCATCGATCGTCCGAACAATGTGCAAGGAGCGATACGAACCTTATAACGAAAGCAAGCGAGAGCGTATGTAAACAAACACACGTATGGCCGGCTATGAGTGTCTGAATTTTTTTTTATTCTTCGGAAAACACTGAATTGAGATAAATATATGACGCCATGCTAGACTAATGACTATGTGGAAGGTCTGCATACCATTGTGATGAGAGTTCACATAATAATAGTAGCAATTCATCATGTATCGTGTTTCAAGTCTGTGTTTGAAACTTCATAACAGTTTCTCCAACTGCAAGAATCGTGCAATATTGTAGGGAGAGTCGGCTACAGCTTGACTGACGGATGAAGACGACTGAAGAGCTGCAGAGTCACGGACGGCTTTGTGCTCTCCCTGGGCAATCGAAAACGAAGTGCATTGCATCCTCGACGACGCCAGGGCAGAAGACACAGTGAGGCGAGTCTGCAGCTCCAATGCGGTGGAGGTAGCCATTCAGAAGACTACAGTGTGTCTGAATTATATGCTGTACATGTACATGTACATGTACACTACAAATTTCGCTTGAAAAATTCGTGAAAGCGTCCGTGTTTCATGTTCAGCCTTTTTTGCGGTTTCAAACAAGTTCAGAAGAAGTAGCGACGACCCGGCCATTATGGAATCCAATACACCACACCACCACATTGTCATTGCGCTCTTGGCCGATCTAAACTCTGCACTCACATCACCATCACCACAGCGAGGACAATTCCGTATACAGATTGATATTGACAATGACCCTCCAGACAGCTGCTTCGCTCCTCCTGAGCTCATCAGTGGAGGCATAATGATGTTGAATGAAAGAATACAATCATGTAATAAAATAGACTGATTTTTATAGGGCTAAATTGGCGCAATTGCGCTCATTCTGCATAGAAACGTGGCATACCGGAGGAAAATGACAAAAGTGATAACAAGGTCAGGTGATAACGACACGCGCTCATGCACGTGCACCGAAAAGGTGGCAGATTCTGCTCGAAAAGCAGTGAAATTGGCACAACCATACAAACCTTATGGCGGGCAATTCCTAGAATTCTGCTCCATTTCTTTATCCACATACCAAACATGCATGAAACTTACCAGAAAAAGTACCGAATTCTGCCAATTTTTCTGGCGGCATTATGCCTACTGCCTCCTAGTACTGGAAAACCGCTCCCAGGCAGGACTTGAACCAGGTACCTGAGTGACGTTTAACCTCTCGTATCTGAATCATGGTCTTTGACCAACCCACTGACACTGTGCCTGGTATCGGTCACTATCCGCGTGTGTACGTACCCGGTACCCTGAAAGGATAGGATCAGGCCGACACGGCGACAGCTAGCTGCGAACAAATGGTTGGCTACAGTATCGACAACAGGTCGGTGGTCGTGGTTTGCAGTGGTGATCCATGAGAAAACCATTTCGATCACTCACTACCATGTTACCACTGAAAATGTATTTCGTTTCTGTCAATTATTCATTCCTCCTCGGCCTCTGGCTGTAAATCTACTCGCATAACCAATGAGATGATTTTTATTCACAGACCGGACACGTCCAGATGTGCCGATACCCAGTAAGGGGCAGTAGGCAGTAAGATGTTTTTATACTATGTGCACATCCCTACAAAATAATGGGGGTAATGAAAGAGACAAAGACAAAATACAAAGTCAACAAAGGAGTAGGAGGTGCTCCAAGAGCTGTGCTGGTCAGGCACAGTGCACTCCTATCCTCCGAGTCCGACCATTCCGGTCTCGGAATCAACATGGACTGTGAGAGCCAAGGGGTTATACTATGCCTGGAATGATAGACTTTTAAGAGCATCTGAAAATGCAACAGAAATGGGAAAGAGAAGATTAAAAAAAAGAGCAAATAATAAAGATTCATCAAGCTTCAGAGAGAAAGAGAGAAAGAGAGAGAGAGAGAGAGAGAGAGAGAGAGAGAGAGAGAGAGAGAGAGAGAGAGAGAGAGAGAGAGAGAGAGAGAGAGAGAGAGAGAGAGAGAGAGAGAGAGAGAGAGAGAGAGAGAGAGAGAGAGAGAGAGAGAGAGAGAGAGAGAGAGAGAGAGAGAGAGAGAGAGAGAGAGAGAGAGAGAGAGAGAGAGAGAGAGAGAGAGAGAGAGAGAGAGAGAGAGAGAGAGAGAGAGAGGAGAGAGAGAGAGAGAGAGAGAGAGGAGAGAGAGAGAGAGAGAGAGAGAGAGAGAGAGAGAGAGAGAGAGAGAGAGAGAGAGAGAGAGAGAGAGAGAGAGAGAGAGAGAGAGAGAGAGAGAGAGAGAGAGAGAGAGAGAGAGAGAGAGAGAGAGAGAGAGAGAGAGAGAGAGAGAGAGAGAGAGAGAGAGAGAGAGAGAGAGAGAGAGAGAGAGAGAGAGAGAGAGAGAGAGAGAGAGAGAGAGAGAGAGAGAGAGAGAGAGAGAGAGAGAGAGAGAGAGAGAGAGAGAGAGAGAGAGAGAATTATCAGTGGCGCTAGTTGTTGTTCTTTGCCCAAAGCCAGTTCTTGTGGCGCAAACGCCTGTGCACATTCGCTTTTAATGCTTGCATTTTTTTGTCCTGGATGTTGGCGAGCATCTCTGCTGGAAGACTCTTCTATACGCCCACGAGGCAGAACGGAAATGACTGGTGAATGTAGTTGAGGGCATTGTGTGGGAGGTTAAGCTTCAGGTAGGCAGGGTGCCGGCTGGCGTCGAGTTGTCGTCTGGTTTTTTGGCGGCTGGGTGGTGGCTGGGTGGTCAAGATAGGTGCTTGGGAATCGTATAGTTGCAGGTTCGATTCCTGCTCAAACTTCTTTCCGGAGGTGGTATCATTGCGACAAGTGCGCTGGGCCATCAGTGACGTGGAGCTTGTAGAGGTATGTGAGGCCAGCAGCCGAGCGGCGCAGACTTATGGAGTTCAGGAGGGTGCCTGGGCCGATGATGTCCAGAGCCCTCCTTGGGACTCCATCTAGCTGATCGAGATGGGTCTGGCAGGCACCCATCCAGACCAATGGGTGCCGCTGCGACCCGCAGCATCAGTCCGACGGCCTGTCCCGCACAATCAGTGATACGCACAGCCTGCAGTTCTTATTCTGTGCCGCTACTTCCGTATATCTTGACACTGAGAATAGATTACCACGGACGCAGATCCCGCCTTCCTGTAGTTCCTGTCTTGTAACACGACATCTACTGAAAATGGTTATGCTAACACTGTGTAATGTACTAGTACTAGTAACCGACTTTGCCAAGACCACTTAGTACTTAGTACATGTACATGTATACATATTGGTATTATTATGAGAG